TTTTTACTCGATTATGTCAAGTATTCAGCGTCAGCGTTGATGATGATGATGATGAAAGTATGTTTAACATTATGGAGACGATAGGTTTCTTTAAGGTTGATATTATCAACTAATCTAATTGAATAACTGGTTAGCTCAGTAGGTAAAGCGTCAGTCAGCGTTGATGATGATGATGATGATGAAAGTATGTTAAACACAATAGAGACGATAGGTTTCTTCAAGGTTAATATTATCAACTAATCTAATTGAATAACTGGTTAGCTCAGTAGGTAAGGCGTCAGTCAGCGTTGATGGTGATGATGATGATGATGTTGATAATAATGATAAGACTATGTTATAGTACAGAAAATATTACCCCTATATATTACTCCAAGTGATTTTGTTTGCATTTTACGAATGGTGCATCTTTTCTTACTTATGGTGCATATCAAAAAATATTTTACATATGGTACCGAAAATACTGACATTTGGTGCAGGGCAAAACGTCAAAAAATTTCGTATTTGGTTCCGATTTTTTGACATATGGTGCACCATTTTACAAATGGTGCCGTTTTACATATGGTGCCGTAACAAACGGGGATTGTGAGTGCCGTATGCAATGTGATAAGACATGCCTCGTTCACTTCACAATATTTTACTTTTAAATAAATTTTCAAAATGTTCATAACAATTAGGATAAATCTGGAGGCGTGTTGCTTTAATTGTTAATTGTGGTTTTACAACACCAGTTTTTCCGATATTGAATCATATGTCCCTATGTTATAAATGATTTTTATACATATGTATGTAAATATTTGCTTGTCCTAAGGTCTTTTCAACACCAGTTATTTCCATATATATTACATATTCATCTAGTGTAATTTCACTTGAAACATTCAGTATCCTAAAATACAAATAAGTTGGTTTCTTTTCTGATACACAAGTGTCTATTCTGACAAATTAGAAATTGACTTGGATTAAACTGAATAAATGAAATGCTAGCTTGATGATATTTTATAATTTATTCTCCCTACGCGCTAGCCACAATAAAAAATATTTCATAACATTTTCTTTCTATGACCCGTAAAGTACCTTAGCGTCGTGTGAGTTAGTCACTGTGAAAGTTAAGGATCAAACGAAGAATTGAGAAGCTTTTGGATGATATCATACATACAAATATAGTAATAGTTTATGAAACATATACAAATTAATTTGTCAGTTATTTCATGAAACGCCAATATAATTTTTTAAGAAATATGACTACTTTGTACATTTGTTTTTGGATTTTTTTGTCTGATTAAAATTGGTTTATAATAATGGATGGTCTGTAATACAATACATAGTTATGTTGATAGTATTTAGTTTCAGACATAACAACAAATCATAATAGAAATATAAAATGAATGTTGCTGGCAAGTGTGAGATACATGATACGATATCACAGGTATTCATATAGTAGATAATAAATTGTTCTAGAACTAAATATTAGAAATCATCAGATTCAATTGCTCATACTTAATCACTTAATCAACATTTTTTCAAGCAATAATATTTGATAAGAATGTTCATATGACACATTTCTAGTGTTTTCATCAATATTTGAAATACTTATGGAAAATATTCCCATTGTAGATAATCTCCATTTTAACTCTCATGGTCTTTCAATAAAGCAATAATGTAACAAAATGTAACAAGAATTAGGCGTTCATCGTCAGAATTATGTCGCTTTTAGAAGATTATCTTCAAAGCATTTGAATTAGGAATAGTAGGATGAACAACGCGTGGATTAAAATGAGTTATTGGTTTGGTAGTCGTGAACGTTTATGTTGTTTTCGATAAAGATGTTCCGAGTTTTATTTTACTCCGCGATACGTTAGTTATTTTAATCAGACAAAGCTTTCAATAATTATCACTAATGTTTTAAGATTAAGTGAATCATAAATAAATAGAATCAAAAGAGTTATACAATGTAATATTTTAACACTCGTAGATTAAGATTTATTACATGTCACATTTAAAAATAAATATCCTTATGGAACAAGGGAAAACTATTGATATTGGAATTTACTGATTATCATTTGAATTAACAGAACACATCGAGAAAACAAATATCCAAGATACATGATACGAACAATGTTAAAGATGACCTTTAAAATTTTAACTTTTTAAGAGTAAAAAATGTAACTTTATAAATTAACTTGTTTTGTGACATACTAAAATTCAAAAACTAAGATTGCATGTAATGAAACAATTCATTTCTAAAGTTATTTGTAAATAAATATATTTTTTTTTAATGTTCATGAAAAAATATTTATATTCTCATAAATGACAAGTTTATATATTCAAGCAAGTCTAGCAATTGTAAGTCAGAGTTTAAAAGTTAAATAAAATTTCTCTGATAAGCCTTATGTCAATACAAAAATTTCATGGCTAATGTTTTCAATGTTCCCAAAACTTAGGTCTCAATACGAGTACCGACAGACCCTTGGCTCAGCAAATAAGTCAGTACCTCAGCGGTCTACCTTAAACAGCGTACTGAGACGCATGTTATATCTGAATTCAGAGATTAGAAGTATGTACATATATTTCAAACTGCGAAGAATATGTTGAAAAGAAAAAAAAAGGTTGAGTCGGATATCGAAGAACCGTATATTAAATACCTTATCAATATATCCGGGAGAGCGGATAAGTTGAATGTGTTAAATAAATCAGTAAAGATAACATTCGTTGAATTACTGTAGCAGGAAGATATATGAACAGATTAAGATAAGAAAGGTAGGTAAAAAAGAGTATTTGTGAGAGGTCCATGTATATATGTACGAATGCCTTCTTAACCATGCAGGTATTAAAAAAAGATAATGAAAGTAAGTAATAGCTTAATATTGTTTTTGTATTATTGTACGGGTAATCTCTAATTGTGATAGCGTGAACCTCAAAAAATAAGTCTGACCTTGACCTTTGAAGAAGGGACATGGTTCCTGGACGCGACAGAATGTTGTTATGAGATAGACATATGTGCCAAGTTATTTCAAAATCTTTTATTGCATGACAAAGTTACAGTCTGGACATGATTGTTGTGTAAGTGGGGACACACGGACAGACAGACGGACATAAGCCTTAGCCGCAACACATTGTCTTGACTTGGCTGACATTTGTGCTTAGTTATTTTAAAACCCTTCCATGCATGATAAAGTTACTGTCCGGACATGAATGTGTATCTTCAAACTCTTCTCGAGAGAATGAGTACCTTCAAACTATAATTATGACCTTGACCTTGAAGGTGGGGACATGGGTCTTAGTCGCGACATGTCGTCTTGATGTTGTAGACATTTATGCCTAGTTATTTTAAAATCATTCAATGTATGACAAAGTTACAGTCCGGACAAGAATATGTATATTTATAAACACTTATTGTGGTAAAGTGAACTTCAAAATGGTAGTGCTACCTTGACCTTTGAGGTAGGCACAAGATTATTGGACGCGACACATCGTCTTGATGTGTTAGACATTTATCCAAGTTATTCTAAAATCCTATCATGTACGACAAAGTTACAATCCGGACACAAATGGGTGTACCTATAAAGTGATAAAGTGAAACCTTAAATTGTTAATGTGACCTTGACCTTTGAGGTAAGGACGGGATTATTTGACGCAACACATCGACTCTATGTGGTAGACATTTATGCCAAGTTAATCTTAAATCCGTCGATGCATGACAAATTTACAACCCGGACACGATTGTGTGTACCTATTAAGTGTGAAACTTCAAAATGTTAATGGGACCTTAACCTTTGAGGTAGGGACGTAATTCTTAGACGCGACACATTGTCTTGATGTGGTTAATATTTATACCTATATATTTTAAAATCATTTGATGCATGACAAAAATACAGTCCGGACACGAATATGTGTATCTATAAACACTTACTGCGATAATGTTAAACTTCAAAATGATAGTGTGACCTTAACCTTTGAGGTAGGGACGTAATTCTTAGACGCAACACATCGTCTTGATGTGGTTAATATTTATACCTATATATTTTAAAATCATTTGATGCATGACAAAAATACAGTCCGGACACGAATATGTGTATCTATAAACACTTACTGCGATAATGTTAAACTTCAAAATGATAGTGTGACCTTGACCTTTGAGGTAGGGACGTCTTGATGTGGAAGACATTTGTGCCAAGTTTTTCTCAAAATCCCTCAATGTATGACAAAGTTACAGTCCGGACACAAATGAAGTGAGGACGCACAGACGGACAGACAGACGGACGGTGCGATTTTAACATGCCTCTTCGGGGGCATAATTATAGAATTAATAATAAAAATATATAACAATATAAATAAATAGATAGATAAATAAATAAATAGAAATAAACAAAAAATAAACGTAAACAAAAGAAATAAATAAAACATGATGTTTATATCAATAAATCACGTGATCTCCTTTTGACCTCATTTACAACATTTGGAGACTGGAGACTTGTGCATATTTACCTACTTGAAACATGAAACTAGTCGCTGTTTTTCATTTCACGGGATCCATATCACCTGAAAAATTTACATCGCATGTTATACCAGGTACGTAGAACTGGGACGTAGCATGCGGTTTAAAGTTTTTATGTGATATAGATTCCTTATGGTATATGCAATATATACACTTTCCTAAGGTTATCAGGTTGCAAACGGTTGTTTATACCATCTCCAACCTGCGGTATAATATAACAGTCGTATATGCTAGACCAGTCAAAACCTTGTAGTACTAATGATATACAATATTGCCAAGGAAACGTTTTAAATAGTTACTAACTGGGACGACTACATAACAATATAAAACATGTACTTACGACATGTACCAGTTTTTGACAGCAGCCGTGTATATAAAACTATATAAACGTCACGATTATCCAATGAAAAGCTTCATTACAAACAGGCAGTATTATAAAAAAAATTACAAACCTCACGACTATCCAATGAAAGACGACGTTACAAACGTGCAGTATTATCAAAATATATATAACGGCTGCTGTCATCTCATATTTTCTCATTAAAGAAGTTTGCCGTATTATAAATTCGTAATAAAGGTTCCTTGCGGCTCCCGAAAGATCCGCTAGTGTACAAGTTTATAACTATCACATTATAATTTGTTATCGCTGTCCTCACTCTGTAGAAGCATTTAATAACGTTTCAAAGGAATAAAAAATGCATTGTACATTAATTCAATACGTTGTGTTCATTCTGGCAGTGGCGGTAACCGGACTGCAAAGCGGGGTAGACACTACGGACAACGCCGACACGCCTGCTTTCAACGGGGATGGAAATTATACTACCAATGTGTCGTAACTTTCTTCCTTATAACTGGACGAAACTCCCAAACCAGTTCGGACATGCCACACAAGTTGAAGTGTACAGGTTAGTAATACATGTATTAATATAATTATATTAATTTATTATTTATAATTATTTATTTTGCATTAAAACAAGACAAACTTATCGTACTCATAATTTTGTTTTTTGTTGATGATATGTTTATATTTTGCTTAGAAATTACAACAATTTTAAACGATAAATTAATTCTTTGAATACACAGGCAACTCTTATTAGCTGAAACTAAGTATGGAAAACGAAAAAAAAACTTGAGTTTTTCATTAGTTTTTTTACAGCCATTTAGCCTTACGACGAATATTAAATTGTTCACCCTGTCACCAGAACATAATATAAATGAAACACTGCAAATTGTTCCATTTATTTTATTTCAAATTTATTTTATACGAAGATGTTGAAATATGATGAGAATCAAAGTAAATGGTTAGATATTAAAAACTTGCTAAAATCATTTTCACTTCTTATTTAAATGCAAAATAAAATGAATTGCACACTCCCATGAACATATTACAGAATGTGCTGTCACAAACTCCGAGATCATGAATAAAAACAAAATATTACTAGAAAGAAACAAGAAGCAGTATATATAGTTCAAACGCATCTAGTAATACATGTAAAACCACTTTATTGTAGGAATATAGAGCATCAATGGGCGTATATGGATTACGGTTGCTCTAACAATTTCCGACAGTTTGTGTGTTCGCTGTACTTACCAAAGTATGATCCAGTCACGCAGATTGTAGCCGGGCCTTGTAAAGAAATGTGTAGCAAAGCCAGGAATAGGTGTAATAAAATAAAGTGGGAAACTAGGTCAAGTATAATAATTTTGATTTCACGTTATTATCTACATGTGTAGAAATTAAATGTATTTAGGAAACATATATAAATTATAGTACGTGGTTGAAAAATGATACACCGTTTTAGTTCACATGCACGAGAATACAATCTGACAGGCCAGTAATAACAAAACTTTTTTATCGATAATCTACACCCTTGTGACTGAGGGGTTGCCTGTTGAGGTTGATGCATCAGAATTGCAGCCAAGGTTTATTCCTATGTGGTCGGAAGAAGCGACAAAATTGGTTTTAATAAATGAAGTCTTTGTGTCTCTTTGCTCCAGCAGGTGAAATATTTTTTTGACCCCTGGAGTTGCTTTAATTTTGTCACACCCAAAGTTAGACAATATCATTTTCTGTGTCGGCGCCATATGACCTAGACTGTGTTGGTGCGCCGTAAAACCAAACAAAACAAAATAGCGATAAGGCAAAATTCTGGAAACAAAGTGATCCCTCGGAAGTATTAATCACAACAAAATTACATAAGAATTGCAGACTCGGTTTGATTGAGTCTGTACATGAGAGATAATGAATAAGTACAACATCCCTAACGCCCCCTAGCACCGGCTTGAGCGGTACTCAATTCTCAACACTTAATAGTGCTGAGACATATATATATATATATATATATATATATATATATATATATAATCTTTTTCGATTATATCATGCTTACAGACAAGAATTGATTAAACTTTAAGGTGTTAAACTACATCTAACGGGAAAGTAATTTTCTTGAAGTCAATTGCATTTTTGACGTCAGATCTGTCAACATATGACTTGTTACCATTATTTCAACATACCGTGCACATGACGTGTAATAATGCACTCGTTCGCACAGTCTGGGGCAAAGGGGAAATTTGGAATAAAAATACTTATTCTTTGCCACTTGACTTGAGTCAATCTGATATTTGAGTCTTGTAAGATATTATTATATATTTACTTATTGTTATATTAACATATTGTCATACTTACATATTGTTATGGTTACATAGTGTAATATTTAGATATTGTAATATTTCCAGATGTAACGAGCTACCGAGTAAAAGAAATGACGATGTTTGCCTACGACCAGTTCAAGAATCGCGCGTTGAGCCACAGCACGTTAACTGCGTAGACAACGTCATTCCTATGTGCAAAAGCCTTAACAGTCTTGGCTCGCTGCCCAATTTTTTTCTACAACGCAGTCTCGAAGAAATCACGACGGAAATGAGATTCTACGAGGATCTGGTATCGACCAATTGCAACGCTAACCTTCGGTTCTTTCTGTGTGGCACGTACATGCCCATCTGTGTGCCGAACATTTCACCATTTACGATACCGTGTAGAGAAGTTTGTGACGAGATCCAACGAGACTGTTCCACACATTTTGAGTCCATCTACCAGGGTTTGCCCTGGCCAAATAAGCTGCAGTGTAATCGATACACGCCTTCCACTGATACATCACGACATTGTGCTATGCCGGACAAATTATAATAATGAATCCAAAGTAAACCACGGAAATATGTTACGTAATTCTGTAAATATAAATCTCTGATTATAGAAGAACCTCTTTCTACCACCACAACGTTAGCATGGTCAATTGCCAAGGTCAATGATTTCGTAAGACAAAGTAAAAAAGTACAATCTATTACAAATATATGCATGTATGTATACACTTGGTGAATTAATCTGAATTCATCCCTTACCAAAATGAACTCCACAATGATTTGCATATAATAAAAATCAGATGCTATGCTTAGGAAGCGAACTTTTTAAGTTTTCAAGGCGATAGTTTAAAGTTCTTTTTTGAAGCTGATTTTGATTTAACCCTTGAATAATTTGTAAAAAGATTAAAAGATGTATACATTAAGTATACAAAAACTTGATATCCCACCATAAATATAAAACATATTGTATTTTGTTTTACTACACCTCTGAACATAATACGGAGTAACAATAGCCAGAATAAAAGGGGGAAAAGCACATTTTTTCTGCTTTTTTTTTACAAATTAATAATATCAGTTGTACAAAAAATCACGAAATGGAGTCTATTTTGCGAAATGAGATTTAGATGTTTTGTGCCATAAAGATATATTTTCCAATTTTATTTTTTTTTTTGGACGGATTTTTTATCGTATTTTATTCCTCATGTATCACAATAAAGTATCTATAGATGTATAAGTCATTTTATAATTTTTATTTCCTTTCCTGTGAATGCTGATTAATACCACTTTGTAAGTTGTTAGATACACTTTAAAGAGTGCTCAAAATAGAGAAAAACTGAATCCATAAGGAAAGCCCAAACGACAAAACTGTAAATGTTGCAGGCTCGGCCCAAGTCCGCTGTCTGAGTTAATAAAACATTTGAGCCGTGTCATGACAAAACCAACATAATGGGTTTACGCCCAGCATGGATCCAGACAAGCCTGCGCATCCGCGCAGTCTGATCAGGATCCATGCTGTTCCCTATCAGTTTCTCTACTTGTAATAGGGTTTGTAAGCGAACAGCTTGGATCCTGATCAGACTGGGCGGATGCTAGGCTGGTCTGGATCCATGCTGGTCGCAAACCCATTATGTTGGTTTTGTCGTGACGCGGCTCAATTTTGTGAGCTCAGTCATGAATATCAGGATTTTATACATGAATCTGACTAATTATAAAACCTGAGATCTGAGTTTCGGATAACCTCGCACCCAAGACTCACCACCACTGATGTTATACGAAGGAATGATTTCATAGTCCAAGAAAGACTGACACCCAAGGTAAGACAGCTCGCAAATATTTCCACCTCGTCCTGTTTTGTTTTCATGTTTCAGTGACAGATAAACAATTTTTTTTACTTTAAAATCGAAAGACCCATTTTGTCTCATAAATACTTAAATGATGTGTCCCGAAAACTTTTTATTTTTTATTTTTGAAACATTGACATTTAAATTAACTATGTTTGCTTCTTCTGCTCTGTTTGGAATTGGTATTATTATAGTGAACTAATATTTTATATGGAAGCCAATATACTACTTTGTTTACATTTTGCCACCTTTATGGCACAATATTGCACATTCAGTGCTACTGTTTTTAGTTGTAAAACAGTTGATTTCCTCTTACTACATTGTTTAAACATCACATAACTCATGTTCGACCTTTCCAAAGAATTAAAATATGGATGTTGTACGCATATACATGTATTTAATGTGCCGTCGTAGTTAAAAGTAACACAATGTTCTCCGTTCACATACATTATCATTAAATTGCTCACAATATTCTATTTGACAAGTACTTGCATTTCCAAAAATGCTTGGATTCGACGTTTAGCAATGAATTTAGAAATTATATTTCATTTCTTGCCTAATATGTGGTCAACATATGGGGCGTCTCAAGGTCATAAACTTCAAACCACTAGAGGATACACGTTATTTCTTGAATGACTGATCAAATTTAAAAAAAGAAAAATGTTTTCTTTTATATAACTGCACATTTATATGCATTGCACTAAAATGTCATACAATAACATATTTATTTTCTTTAAGACTGTAAAAATACTGTCTCTTATACAATGTCTGTATGAAATGTTATAGAGATAAATTATGTCCACCAGCTTTGCATTAAATAGAAACAAGGACCCGTTCTATACAGACTATTGTAGACAAATATCATCGTCTAATGAGCATGGAATTAACGAAGAAGAAGCTGATATTAACTGTTATCTTTATCACACCAAAGTAAATTATCACAAGTTCCCTACTAGCCTACTAGATGGGTTTGATTTTAAGAAAAGACCCTCCGTTAAGAGTCTTACGGCGTTTGTTTTAGTACAAGAAGGTAGTTAATCCTTTTTACATAATTCTGGTACACAGAATCCATTTTTGCTCTTCCTAGACTGTACTCATAGTCCTTGACCTTCTAAAGGTCAAATTAAAATGGACGCCATTGACCTTTACTATTTACTTTATAATTTTAAATCTGGTGCTTAACGTAATGTATTACTGTTCTAAACAAATATAAGTGAAGTGCTTTTAAACAAAAGGATCGTTATCAAACACATAATGCTGATGATATAAGCGGCATGTCATGTAATATTCGACACGATGTGTAGGTATACTGAATTTAATCATGACCGTCATTCTTTATGGACAGGTATCTAAGATCCAAAATGTCTAACAAAATATGCACACTTTAATTTACCATATGATGTTTAAGATTTTTATTTTGATAAAATAGCATGTGTGGAAACCTTTATGGACACTAAATCACTTTATAACTTGAATGTCAAAAGTAAAGTTCGGTATGCCTATATTTTAAACATTGCCTTTCATCTTCACAAGCTAGAGACTATGTCTCTGTGCCCGCATGGAATTGCAACAACACGTAACGACACGATTCAAAATATAAAAAAAACAGAATCCCTGAAGAATAATGCCCGAAACAAATTTTATAGGCTCATAGCTAAGACGTAAGCAAAATTCAACATTTAAACATGGAAATTGTGAAATTTGGAATTTAAAACCATCCGCAAAAGTTTTATACATACTTTATGTAAACCTGAACCAACAGCAAAACAAAATTCTGGTTTTTGGTTAATTTTTATATGGATTATTTTTTGTTGTATTGGTGTAGGTACTATAAAGTGTCGTCTTGATTTCAGAGAATAACTCTTAACATGTCCTGATTGATACACCAGTCCTGCATGGTTTGAAATCAGATCATCTTTCTTGATTGAAATACTTGTAAACTTAAATAAATGCAAACGTCATTTTAAGCCTTATTATTTTTCACTTCGGAAAGAAAGTATGCTTGAAAGTATGGAAATAACATCTAAATGACAAACGCAAATATGATTGTCATTTATTTTGGTATGAATTGTGACCTCTCTGCACCATAAAGTTTGTAGTCTTTATAAGTATCACTGCATTTATACTTTTTATAATCAAAGAAAACAAGCTAGTTCTTGCGCTTGTTTACGTTAAATATTATACAGTATATAGAAACAAATGAAATTGTCAGCCATTTTTATATCCAACATGGCTGCCGCAATAAATTTATCATTTTTTCTCCATTTATTCTTCTCAATCGAACTCAAGCCGGCTCAAATAAGAACAACTTTTAATTAAACTTCAAAAAAGATGTGTTTTATCATGCCTATGGGAGAATTAAAGTAAAAATTAAAAAAAGAAAAAAAAGCAATGGCGGTCATTTTGAATTTGATTCTAAAGGTCAAGGACTAAAAAACAAAGCTTGGTAGAGCAAAAATTAATTCAGCGTACTCGAAATAGGTAAATAAACCCAACTACCTGCTTGTACTAAAATGCCGTTAGGATGAACATTTTCCCACAGTCAAATGTGTCAGTATTTTTGCCTATATAAACTAGTCGAGTTATGATACGTAAACGTATATACTTAATGTGACTTGAAGTTTAAAGCATAAATCTTGAAAACTACACATGGTAAACTACGATATAGTTGTTAGTTACTAATGAAATCTAAAACATATAAGTACTATATGAGCACAGGAACATTGAAACGGTGTTGCTTTATGTATAAAATAATAGTTATGTTATATGTAACTTGCAAAAGATCTAAATTTATTAGCAAATGTTGCAATGGACGTAATCTTTATAGCCACTTCGTTGCAAAATGTCCTCATTTGTCCTGATTGCACTCGTTATTTGGAATCATAACAAGTTTTAGTTGTCATTGCGTTTTTCTTCTTTTGAAACAGTCAATAAAGGTATATGAGAGCTAAATAATTTAAAGCCGACGCAGAATTTTTACTTCATTTATCTTGTCTGGATCATTTATTTTTATATTTTGATATCGACTTATATTAAATATTAATTACTTCCTTAATTGTCTTACAGGTACTTTAAGAACAAACGGTTACATGGTTCAAATCAGAACCATCAACATTAATAAAATGATATGCCAGATAATTGATTTGTGTCCTTTCTTGTTATTTCAAATTATTGTCTTATTTTCAATGATATCAGTATAGTTTGTCTGGGCTAAGTTTAAACATTAAAATCGACGTTGCACTTTGTTGTTTTTTCTATCGCCTTTTTACTGGCAACCCAAAGATATACAACATTGAAAATTGAAAATGAATATAAGTGCTATCTTCACTTGACTGTATATTTAACATGAACATGATTCAGAGTTAGTTTAGTTTAATTATATTTTATTTGTAATCCTTTCATTTATATAATAAATTACATAAACAAAAACCCTACGGATTAACTCGGGAGACTTAAAAATCTTTTATTTAAAACAAAACAAAAATAAACTCCTGTATGAATCAATTTTTAGGAGCATGTCTGAAATCACAAAGGAGTTAACACGATGGTAGTAATCACTTTAAGAACATTAAGTAATTAAAGTTGACATTCATGTACAAGCTTATAAGTTTATGTTCCTTTGGTTTAAGTAAATAAATATAATTGACATGGGTTTAAAGAAAAAAAAGAGAATCTGAATAGTGTCGATGTGTCTTGATACCGTTATAACTGCAATACATTCCGATGAAAACGGATGCTTACTTTTTGATTATTTAACCGAATGATATGTAAAACGCGAAAGTCATCTTGAATGAAAAAAATTCTGGTTATATATCCTTTCTGTAGAAAAATTAAACATTGTCGTTTATTATCCAGACAGACCGAAGTAAAAACAATAATTTTATTCATTTTTTTTTTAATTTTCAAATCTACCATTAAAATCAACACGTTATTATGTCAAAAAGCAAAATAAAAGTGTAATCTCTATCATCATTCAAGGGAAGGACATTTTAACTTTATATAATTAATGTTTAAATACTTGTTTAACTTTATATCATTTAACCTTTCATTGTCTACCTAAGAGTCCTTAAAACATTTTGAGTTTTTAACTATAACATTCATCTTTTGCCTGGTTTCGGCAAAATCACCAATAAAACTATCTAGGAAAAGTCAAGTAAAGCAGTCTGTATACAATTTGATAATATATTTAATAGTAATTTATTATATTTAAAAGAGAACTTACAGATGTAAATACATACTTAACTACAAACTAAATAATTAATAAAACATAACAATCAAATGATATATACAGTTATATATTTTTATCTTTTAATTTAAAAAAAAATATTTTTTGTGAACAATTCAGTAGTTTAAAGGCTACAAATTAGTTGGAAATGACGCCTTATTGTCTTGA